CATAACTGCGCTCCACATCCCTCTTTCTAAAAACCAATAGAAGAAATAGCCTCACATGAGGCTTCAAAACAACAAAACAAAAAGAATGTTCATTTAGTTCTCTTCCACGATTCCTTTTCACGTTCTGCAGTGCCATGCATCTTGCGAAGTGGGTGTTAAAATAGAAGTTCGCTTTCCTGAGGACAGAGGTGGCAGTCTAGAGCGCCAGACTGCAGACTGAAGGGTCCCGGGTTCAATTCTGGTCAAGGGCACATTCCTGGGTTGTGGGTTCAATCTCCAGTAGGGGGAATGTAGAAGGCAGCCGATACAAGATTCTTTCTCATCATTGATGTTTCTCTCTCTCCCTCTCCCTTCCTCTCTGAAATCAATAAAAATATATTAAAATAAAAAGTATGTGTCACAGCCAAAGAGGTGAAACTGAAGAAATCCATAGGATTTCACAGAGTCCAGGCTGTCTATGTTTTGTGTATTGGGTTTCGACCTTGAGGCCCAGCGTGTGCTCTTGCCCCACAGACTTGGCATACACATGGGGTGCGGTTTCCTTGTTCCGATGCCCATCCTGGTGTGTCTGAGTTGCCCTGGGAATCCGTGGTTGAAATGGTCTAAGTGGGTAAGGAAAGTGAACACATAGCAGAGAAAGCATGGTGTGTGACACCAAATGGAGCCACTTTGTAATGTATTTTTTATTTTATTTTAACTTAAAAAAATATATATTTTATTGATTTTCCACAGAAAGGAAGGGAAAGGGAGAGAGTTAGAAACATCGATGAGAGAGAGACATAGATCAGTCGCCTCCTGCACACCTCCCACTGGGTAGGTGCCTGTAACCAAGGTGTATGTCCTTGACCGGAATCGAACCTGGGACCTTTCAGTACGCAGACTGACGCTCTATCCACTGAGCAAAACTGCTCAGGGCTGTAATGTACTTTTTACTGATTTCAGAGGAGAAGGGAGAGGGAGAGAGAGAAACATCAGTGTTGAGAGGAAATCATGGGTCGGCTGCCTCCTACATGCCCCCTACTGGGGATTGAACCCACAACCCAGGTATGTGCCCTTGACCAGAATTGAACCCAGGACCCTTCAGTCTGCAGGTTGGCACTCTATCCACTGAGCCAAACAGGCCAGGGCACAAGTGGAGCCACTTTGGATCTCTGAGGCAGACCTGTCCTGGTGGGTGTTGCGGGGTGAGTCACAGGGCCAGCTTTGCCCACAGCCAAAGAGCAAAGGGACTAAGGAAGTGATGCAGAGACTCTGGGGAGCTGGGGAAGGGGGTGGGGTTTTATCTTGTTTTGTGTCTTTGTTTGGATTTGGAGTGTGTGGGATTGTGCTGTGGGCCCCCAGCACCTCCAGCCAGTGAACTTGCCTCTGTGGCCCCCAGAAATGAGCTCAGTGAGCCCTTCTTTTCCATGGCAGGACCTCGGACAGGTGGGGAACCTGGGCAGCTGGCGGGCCTGCTTGAGACTCCTCTCCCCCAAATGATGCATTTCCAGGGCTTCCTTAGGGGACATGGCCTTTTGATTTTTAAAAATATATTTATATTTTTATTGATTTCAGAGAGGAAGGGAGAAGGAGAGAAACATCAATGATGAGAGAGAATCATGGATCGGCTGCCTCCTGCACGCCGCATACTGGGGAGCAAGCCCGCACCTCAGGCATGTGCCTTGACTGGGAATTGGACCCTGACCTCCTGGTTCCTGGGTGAAGGCTCAACCACTGAGCCATGCCAGCTGGGCGGATGTGATTTTTGTGTGTGTCCATTGATGTTTGGTCACAGCTTCCATAAATGTCTGGATGGTGGGAAAGAGAGATGCCACCATCTTTAGAGTTTATTCCTTTCAGCTGTTTGTCTTAGGGAAGGCTGTCATAGCGGCAAGAACCTACAGGGGTGCTGCACTAGGTCCCTCTTGTCTGAGAAGAGCAGGATGTACTTAGTCTCCTGACTGGACTTAAGTAGAAAAGACACAAAGAGACACTTTAGTAAGGGAACCGTTCATTCACTCAGTGTCGGTTTCCTTTGTCATAGAAAAAGCTTGATCTCTGTTTCAGATGAACGATGAACCTTAATTTTTTTTAAAGAAACATTATTTTATTTATTTGTTCATTTTTAGTTAATCCTTGCCCAAGAATATTTCCCATGGATTTTTAGAGAGAGTGAAAGAGGCAGAGACAGAGAGAAACATCCATGTGAGAGAAACGTCAATTGGTTGTCACTTGCAGGAGTACCAACCTAGGACCGGCCAGGGAGGAGCCTGCAACCAAGGCATGTGCCCTTAACCAGAATTGAACCCGGGACCCTTTGGTCCCCAAGCTGATGCTCTCAGATTGATGAACTTTATAGCATAAAAGAAAATCTCCCGAGAATATCCTCTCCATGGGCTAATCGGCATTTGATTGAGTTAAAGCACATTTATAATCAGAACTCAATGTGCACATGTGCGGCCGGCATCACTAGCTCTATGCACCTGGACCTGCGTGTTGATCACCTGCTCCTTGTGATATTAAATGAGCCAAGGCTGATGCGGCTTCCCTGCAAGGCCTGGTCCCTGGGCTCATGTCCTGCCTCCGGCTCCCACGGGCTCTGGCCGCTCGGGATAACGCCCCCTTCCCTGCAGGTAGAGCAAGTTGGCCAGTTGGCGCTGTTTATCCAGGCGGCTCTAGAGTATCACCAGCAGTCGGCCAACATCCTGCAGCCACTGCAGAGGAAGCTGAGGATGCGGTAAGAGCCTCCCGCCCCCTCCCGTTCTGATGTGGGATCCGAACCAGTGGGAACCACTCTCTGGCTCTCTGATTCTCCAACTCCCCCATCCCATTGTCCCATTCTTTTTTTAAAATATATTGTTATTGATTTCAGAAAGGAAGGGAGAGGGAGAGCTACCCTATTGTTTGGCCGGGATTGGATAACAGAAAATTGTCTTATACAGGACTAGGATAATGAATAAATGTTCAAGGGTTTTGGCTTATATCAACGCCCTTCTGACAAAGGGAAAAGTGGTGTCCGGTCAGCAAGGTGTCCCCTCTGTAGTCGGTGGTCACTGGGAGCTCACGGGGCCAGCATTTCATTTTCTGTCTCTGTTTCCGGGAGAAAAGGGGAGAAAATGAAAGCCCCTCCACTGACAGGATCCTGTTAGTCACAAAGAAGGTAAGCCCTTCCCACTGGCAGGGTCCTGCTGGAGCTTAACTCCCAGGTGACCGCTGCCCACTGCCAAGACCAACTTCGCAATAGATGCTCTTCTAACACCTGGTTGAACAGCAACATCTCGGGGTGTCACCTCTAGCACTTTGGGCTACTCCAGAGTCAGGATGTAAAAGTCAACACCCCTCAGTGTGTAGGCTCCTCAAGGCAGAACCAGCGTGTGTGGGAGGCTATTTGGCTTCAGCCGACACATCTTCCTACGTGTGTGTGTGCGTGTGCGTGTGCGTGTGTGTGTGTGTGTTACAGAATCGAGGCTGCCTCCTCTCTGGCTGGAAATGACTTCATGCCGCATCCCCTGAAAAGGTGTCCCAAAGCACTCAACCTGACCACCACCTCTTCAGCCAAGTCCAGAGGTGAGATGCCCACGCTGGGGCCAGGGGCGCCCTGCGGGAGGTTCTGCTAGAAGCCTGTGCTCACTGCGTGTGGCCCGTGCTCCTCTACCATTGAAGGCACTGACACCCGAATTTCCTTCTTCCCCACCCCTCCCACCATCCCCGGGAATGCCCCTTACCCTGCTTCCTGGGTTCAGGTACTTATGTCA